TAAGATGACTGCATTATTTTTATTGTATTCTGAATGCAAAACAATTTATTCAAAAATAATTAAATATGGATAACAAATTCTATATTTATATATATTATAATAATAACATTTATATATTATATATTATTAATGTTAAATCATAAAATGTATTTCATTTCTAATATAATACATGCAAAAGTTAAATTATTTTTTCTTTTTATAAAATCAGGTATTTATGGAATATACATATACAAAAAATAATATCAAAATCACAAATATAAAAAAATTAAATTTCATTTACTTTATATATAACATATATATATATATAACTTTATATATAACTTTAATATATTTCATTATTGGTATTTTAAAAACATAAATTAATATTTTGACATTCAGTTTTATTCTTGTTCTTAAGACATAAGCACCTGATTTTTTATATGCATTCAGAGTACAATGCATTTAAATCAATTTACCACTTACAATGCCAAGTGCAAAACCACCTACAAAATAAGAAAGGAAAAAGTGAAATTCTGTAGGTTTAAATGAAGTATCGCCAGTTATAGAATGATACCAACGACGTGTACGAGATTCGCCATTTTTTAATAATTGTTCAGCTTTATCTAACTTTTTATCAACATATCTCTCAACCTGAAACAGTAAAATTTCATTCAATTCATCAAAATAAAATAACAAATATTTCAAAATATAAAACATATTTTATACAAATTTATATAAAATGTTGATATTTTTGATTTTCAAAACAAAAATTCTCGTAATATACGAAAAGAAAGTAAAAAAATTTCATATAATAAAATTGTATTATTGTTATATATAATTTTTTACAAATATCTAAGTTTTTGCTTATTATGTTATTTTATAATTATATTATAACTATATTTTTTATAAAATTGTATATATATTAATGTATAAATTTATATAAATGTATAAATAATACATATTAAAAATAATGGTTACAAGATAAAAACTTCTTAATGCATGTGCATATTTTTAGAAGTGTTAGAATTTAATTAAATATACATATATGAGATACAGAGCTACAAAGATTAACAGTAAATTTATACTTATATATTAAAAATAAAATTCTTAAGCATAAGGAATAAATAATTTAAATAATAAAAAAATATTTGATTCTTAAGTTTTTATGAAAATGATGAAAATAATACCTAACATATAATGTTAATATGCTAAAAGTAACAAATATATAATGTTCACTCATGTTTTTATAAAAAAAACTAATAGTTTTTCATTCAGGATGCTAAACCAATAATAAAACCACCAATGAAACTTGTTGCCACAAGTGAATTGTTTCGACACCATGTTCCTACCTATAAATAATATTAATATTATATTTATATATTAATAAGTATTATAAATCTATGAAATTTTTCTTGTAAATTTAGATATCAAAATTATTAAAATTTTACCTTATCCAAGAATTTTGGTCCTTCACCTGTTACTGTTTCTTCTACTTTATCTGTTATTTTCTCAGCTTTTTTTTGAATTTTATCCCAATTAATTTTAATGTAACCTTGATGTGCTGCAATTTGGAGCATTATAATTCCACCACCAACTGCAAATGCAGTAATTTTTCCAATTTTTATTGTTATAAAACCAGTCAACCTATATAAAATATTTAAATTAAATTAGATATTTATTTTTTGGCAAGATTAAAGTTTTTATTAAATATATGGATAATTATATATAAGTAGAAATTTTTTTTTTGAAGTAGTTAAAATATTTATTAATTAATAATTAATAATTAACTTAATTATCTTTTTTTAGTTGTACATTAATCACATTATATAAAATTAAAAGTTTTTTATATAATTTTAATATGTATATGTATATATGTATAATATTTACCATCCTGATGTTGTACCAATAATAATTTGTTTAGTAGTAGACTTTTTGTTCACATCTCCTAAAATCTTGTCTATCATACTTTCTGCATGTTTTGAAATGTTCAATTCTTCTTTGTTTGCATTATCTTTGTTTTTCTTTGTTACTGGAAGACTCATTTTAACACTGAAAATTATTTATTATCATTAATATTTCGTTATAAAATAAGAATTTTAAAAACGAGTTAAACAATATTAATATACGTTTTTAAATACATATTTTTTGCATTATATTTTTTCTTGATACAATTTTCGTTTGCAAATTAACAACGTGAAAGCTAAAGAATGAATGCTATTTTCACGTCTTGAAATAATAATGTTAATAAATTCTTCAGTTATATGTCAGAACAAAAATATATCGATGACTGTATTGTTAAAAAATTGCAATAACGAATATTTTGTTAAGTATTACTTGATAAATTATTTTAAATCATTTCATTACATTATAAAAGCATAGAAAGTATTAAAAATATAAATAAGAATTTCAAAATAATATGAAAAAAAAATTGTCTACCGTTTAAATAATTTTGTTGCTCCTGACTTGATGGTATTCTTGTATATTTTAGGCATGATATCATTCAGATATATTCTTAAATTATATAATATTTCATAATGGTTAATATTTATATATATATATATATATATAAGGCTCACCTAAATTCTTCAATTACCGAAATATTATTCGATAAAATTAAAATGTCTTTATGTATAAACGCAAAAGATCAAAATCTCCGGTTTTCTAAAATGATTGTTCGGTTTGAAAAACAGTAAAGACGGTAAAATAGTGAAATCACTGAAGAGCCGTCTGTATTTCAATAATAATATAAGAATTTTAGAATGAACATATTATTTTATATGATAATATTAAATTATAAGAAAACTGAATAAATATTTTAATTTATTAACATAAGATTTTTGCTAATAAATTATATAAATTTTTAAAAACATTTTAATATATTATGATATAATTCTTGAAGAATTAAAAACTTTAAATAATAAATTTTATAAAATCTAAATAATTTTAAAAAATTTTATACTCATTTATATGAGTATATATTATATAATATACTATTAACTATTTATCTTATTTTGATTATAACTTTATATATTTATTATAATAAATAAGTCTTCTTGCATTGTAGGTAATTTTTATTGATTTCATGATTTATTAAGTTTAAATTATATTTTACATAAAATATATATTCTACAAGATATATAGAATAAATTATTCAATTTTTCGCGCTATTCTAGGACGTTTTGAAAAATAATATTCTCTGGTACCGGAATTATAAGTCGACATGAGCCATGATAATGGTCTTCCGTCGCGTGATTCGCCATCCTGATTTAACCTGGTTGCCGCTTTTAAAAACTTATCGTCCTGATGAGGTGACAAAGTGTCGAGAGAGTAAATTGTGAAAACTCTCGGATTTTCGTACAAAGCAACCGGTTCTAAGTGTAAACATGTGTTCTTTCTGTTTTTAATGAGTATATTTACCAAGTACGAAAATGGCTCAGGATACTGACGATATCAATTTGACTCCTCAAGAATTACAAATACTATCTGAGTTAGACAGGTGATTTTAAAGTAAACAAAATCTACTACATCTAGTTTTGTTTTGATTTCTCAATTTTTCTTATATTAATTATAGTTTTTTTTGCTTTTTTTCAATATATAACCTAAAAGTTTGTTTGACAGAATAGGCGCGTAATTCGATCAATTTATTCGAAATTATTTGGAACTGACATCTTTTTTTTATCAAAATATATATAGAATTCAATTATAATATTAATATATTTTTATGATTTATATAATTGTAATAATTGTAATTATAATATTTAAAATATTATCATAGAAATTAAAACATATAAAATATATTAAATATTTAAAATATGTCTATTTTAAATTATATTTTAAATATTTTAAAAATATTTATCTATGAAACATTTATGTATATTTTGCTAAAATTTACTAACATAATGATATTTTTAATATGTGATGTCTTTTATATTTATATTTATTGTAATTATAATTTTTTAATTAATAAATATATTTTTTCAATATGTGCAGTCGGCAGTTTGGATTTTTAAAATTAAATTCACCAGAGCAAACAAAGAAAAAAGCTTTAGTTGTTCGTGCAATTAAGTATTTAGAAAGAATGTTAGTTCAAGCACAAGCTGAAAATCAACGTAGAAAAGCAGATAGTACAAAAATAAATCCCGATGAATTAAAGGATGATGATGAAGATAAAGGAATTAGTATTGATCCTAAAACATACTGTAAATTAGGACATTTTCATTTACTTTTAGAAGATTATAGCAAAGGTAAATAACTAATAATTATTTGTGATAAATTGATTTTATTTTTAATATACTTATATCTTTTAAAAATTTCAACAGCCATGTCAGCATATCAAAAATTTTATTCTTTAAAAGGAGATTATTGGAAGGATGCTTCATTTTTATATGGTCAAGGACTTGTTTATTATCACTTCAATGCTTTTCAATGGTAAGTGATCTCTTGCATTCAGTAGTATATTATTTTATATTTATTTTCTATTATATGCATGTATATATGTATTTTATTATGTATAATAATTCATTCTGCTTCTATATTATTATTATAATTTGAACATAATAAAAATATAATTATAAAATAAATATTTTAAATTCTCTTTCAAATATAAAAATATTTTAAAAATATAATTTATTTATTTATATTATTATTTTTATGATGATTAAAAAAATCAGTTTTAATAATTTATTATTATAAAAAAATAATAAAGAATTTAAAATATTTATTTAATTTACATTTTGAAAAAGGAAAATAAAATATGGATAAAAAAACTCTACAGAAAAATGTTATCTCGTATGAAACTTGTTCACCTTGAAAAGGGTACGTTGACCCCTTAGACGATGTACACATAGAGTTCATCGTTCCCATCGTGCATTCTCTATTTTTTTAATTTCGCGCAAAATCCTGTTGGTAATGTAATTTTATTTTTTGATGTCGATAAGATAGAATATTAAGGTTCGGTAAAGTAGATTGCTTATAAAAGTTACCGAATGAGTTATTAATACATAAATTGAACAATAGATGTCGATGATTTTACTATAAGAAACTGAATGTGCCTACGTGCCGAGTTGTTTCATGGATATGGCGACTAAGAAAATGCGTGGGGGAAATAAAAGGCCAAGTAACTTACTACATAAGTATTTATATATTAAGTATTTAGAATGTTCTGTTTCAATGGCCAAAATAATAATAAATATGGCTATTAGTGTATTGTATATATAATTATCGTGTCAAATTATTGCTTTTCTTTCTAAAAATTTCTTTGTTGTGTATTATGAGTTTTTTTTTTGTATATTCTATCTAATTTTTGAGACAATTGTATCAAAATTATTATGAAAAAATTAATTTGAAAATAATTTTATAAATATTTATGTTCAAATTTATTTCGTAAACTATCAACTATAATAAAATTATTTTTATGTTTTAAATTATTTATTCAGAAAATATAATTGACAGCAGTTATTTCGGATATTGACATATTTGAATTTCATTATAAATTGACAATTGACAATTACAGATTGAACATTTTCAATTCTTTATCAGTTTGTTTTATAAATAATCTCTTATTAAATATCATTTAATATCGTTTATTATTTTTAATTAGCATTGGTGTTAAAGATCATTAAATATTGAATTGTTATATTAATAAGATTTTTCATTATAAGAATTGGAAATATAAAAATATATATAACATATAACATATTGTTTTATAAAATATATATAATGTATAATTCGTGAAATAGATTAAAATCAATCAAATAATAAAATTAAAAATATATTTTATTATTATTATTATTATTTTAATATTGTTTTTTCTTTATTAAATATAATATTTTCATATTGTTACACTATATCAAAATCTAATATAAATAATATACAAGATATTATTAATGTTAACTTGACATTTCCTGTCAGACAATCAGTTTTGTAGACGGTTAAGAGTGGGAATATCGATTTCCTGTTCAACCCTCAACTTAGATGGTGCAAGATTCTCATGAAATGAAACTCATAGTAGACTTCCTTCGACTTTTCAGCATTCCATTTGATCATGATACCATATAATAATTATCAATGATTCTGATTGACATTATTTCACTATTTTTCTCGAATTTTTTCATTCATTCATTTGAATATACAAATAATATACAAATTTTAATTAAAAAAATAAAAATTTAAATTGGTCAAATTCATATTGTTTGTATATTTAAATTTAAATAAATTTGTAAATTATATATATTTTTTTCATAAATAATAAAATAATAATGATATTTAAATCGAATAATTTCATTATTAATTGTATTTCTAATCAAAAATTGAATTTTATATTAATCTACTGATTACAATAATTTAAAAATATAATATTTTTTGTCTTTATTTTTGAAAATTTGAAATTCTTATTCAGCGGGTGAAATTGAATGGAAAATTCTCTCTTTGCAGATGCAAAAAGCAATTTTCTTAGATATATTAGGTTTCAAGCATTTAGGCGTATAAAATAGAAAGTACAATTATTTGTAGAATAAGAATAAAATAATTAAATTATATGCACATAGTTTGATATAATATTGGTAGAATTATCGTATTCATAAAAATGAAACTTGTACGAGCCTTTTTTTTTTTAGATTCATTGTTTTATTATTCATAAAAATTATACTTTACTATATTTAAATTAACTACTATATTTATATAATTACTAATTTAATATATTTATAAAATTAATTTAAAAACATCTATAATATTCATAAAAAAATCTATAATAAAATCTATCAAATATAAAATTTTTAGAAACATTTTTAGAAATATCTTTGAACGTTATTTAAGATGTTACTAAAAATGTTTCAAAAAATTACTATATTATTGATAAAATATTAATTCTATTGTCTATTTCGTATTACAATAATTTTTTTATATTTTTTTTCATATCTGTTTTTTGTTCTAAATTCTATGAAGTTTTTTTATGTATGTCATTTCATTAAATTTATATTAAAAATATAACAATAAATAGTTGTAAAGTAATAGTCAGTAATTAAAGAAACTAAACTAGGTCATTTGATATTGTTGCATTGTTGACAATTTTATCTTTTCTTTGAAATGATAAAAATTACATTATATTAAATATTAAAATATATTATATTATATATCTTAATTATATTATTATATAGTTATTATTGCATATATGTAATTAATATATATTATTTTTTTTATTATGAAAATGATACAAAAAATAAAGATATTATAAATATTATAAATATTATAATAAAGATATTAAGATTATATAAATAAAATATGAATTATTACAAGTCAAGTTTTTTCATTTTTTCGTTGTATTTGTAATTAAATATTGAAAGAAAATAAATATATTAATTACATTCGCGTGATAGGTTAACTCGTTGCAACGTGTGGCACCGTGCTGCGATTGCGATAATTAAGAGAATAGAGCCATGGTTTGTCGATAACAGAAAATTACAAAGAGAAAATGGTTTGGTGCACGCTACTAACCAAAGTATTGACGGTGAAATGAATATTATCGTTTCTGTACCGTGAAGTTATTTCTTTGTTACTTCACATCATGTGACTGCACAAACAGGATATTTACTATATATGTTTATGATGTGCTAAAATAAATTGTAACTTTCCATTTTAATTTAAAAATTCTTTAAAGACAAAAAAAAAAATGAAAAATAATAATAAAAAAAAATCAATCTATCGATATATCGATTTTAATGAATTTGATTATATTTTATCAAGAACATCTTTTCATTACGCATAATCATTGATTTTAGTTTTTAATTTATATACAAAAATATTTTTCATAATATATATTTCATATCTTTTATCCTATAATCGCATTTTTGTTTAGTTCATCAATTTATGCCAATTTATTAAAACATGAGATCTTATGTTTTAAATCATCTTTTAATAAATTAATTATCAGATAAAAATGTTACCATTTTATGACTATAATATTCATTAATATTTTTTGATTTAACAACAATTTAAATTTAACAACAATTAAATATTTATAATAATTAGCAAGTTTGAATTAAATTTTCAATGCTTGCTTTTTGTTTTATATTTAAAATATAGATTTAAATCACTTGACATTCATCTTTGAATATCAAGTTATGTAAATTATAAATATGTATTTATGTAAATTAGATTTCTATTAAATTGAGTTTGAATCATATTTGAGTTGAATTTGAGTTAGATTAATACTTTGAAAAAGTTCATTTGAATCAGTACAATAGATACTTTATAAATATAATTCGCGAATCGTGATATATAAAGAAGTTAATTTCTAGGTTAATTGAATTTGTATATTATAAATTATGATTGTAATGATTGATAATTTGATATCTCTTTTATTTTCGTTATTATTATAATTATAATTTATAATTTTTATAAAAATTTTTAACATATTATAATTTCGTGAGAAGATTTTTTGAAATGCAAAAATATTTGAACTTCTATTTAATTAATTGAATATATTGTGTACGAAATTAACATTCGAACAGAATATGTATAAATTTATAATATACTTCTCTAGAATACTTGATTATCCTTGAATAGCGGAGAGAAACTGTAACAACCCTTCGTTCGATTGGCAAGTCTTTTTTTCGCCAACTTTTCACCCTCTAGCATTGAATGGATCCGAATCTCCCCAAGAGTGATTCACATGATGCGTGACTCGTCAGTTCGTAATCTTTTGCATATGTGTGGTTTGCGTGTTGTATCACTTCCTATAATATTTATAGTATTTATATATATCATTTTATTATATAATTCTTGATTCTATGCATGTTTTTATTTTATAATATTTTTTGATTTTTTATTTTCTGACTTTGCTTGCGGTTATAACAATCGCTGGAAAATACATAGTTATAGCTTTCTTCTATAAAATAAATTATTTGGTATTTTTGTATGCATTTATATTTTCTTGAACAATTGTCTCGTTTCAGTATTAATATATAATACGAAAAATATTTATTTTATATTATAATGAAAATTTTGTATAGACAGTTTTGTTTGAGTTAATTTATTGAAATTTTCATGGTTATTGATATTTTCTTTATTCGTTTATTCGTTTCAAATTGTTTCGTTAAACTTTAATTGTATTTATTTGACAATTATAAGAGAACATTTTTTATTTGTGTAATTTCGGAAAATTTTCCAACTATTTTGAGCACAGTTTATCGAAACGGCAACCAGGACGTTTGTCCGCCATGGCAGAGTGCCGTTGAGTCACGTGCAACGTATAGAGATGCGTTGCAAACGATCGATTTTATGGCCTCTCCTTCTACGCACATGTTCAACCATGTATAGTTACATATCAAATTGACGATTGTAATAGTTTGTATCTCACGTTCTCTTCTCCATGAAGGAGAATTTTCGTAAGATTAATTCTATAGAAATCTAAACAAAACCTCAATAATATTAAAATTTATTAGAAACATTTTCTTTTTATTTTATTGTTTTATTATATAAATGTTTTTAAAATTGTATCAAAATTATTTTTCAAAAAAAGACTTATCTTCGATTCGTTTGTAAAAAAAAAATATTAATTTACTTACTATTTTGACTAATGTATTCAAAAAAATCCTTATTTTAGAATTGATTTACATATATATGTTCAATATAAATTATGAGATTTTATAAAATTTTAGTGGATGCTTTTGTTAATATTCATTATATATAGCTTAATTTTCCATTATAAAATTTTAAATTAATATTTCTATTAGTAATTCAATTTTTTTCTAATATATTTATATAGAGATTAATCAAAGTTTTTTTTAGTGATGTAATAATTTCACATGTCATATGCGAATTTAAGTTGATAAAACATCAGTTAGCAAGTTTCCGTCGTCCATTGTTCCATTCTTTCATTCGGAACATTTTTAGAACATCAGAATAGAATGATAATTAGTTTTCTCATCACTGTCAATTATCTTAGACATTGTCATAGTTAATCTCGTCAGTCATCCATGCAATTATACATTTATCTCCAATCTCCTTATTGTATAATTCTTCGGAGTTATTTTGTGCTCTTTATATCTGCCAGTGGATAAATAGAATATATGCAATGTAAAATAAAAAAAAATTCCTATTGTCGTGTTAACATTTATTTCAAATTTATTATTTTATATGTTATTATCATATTCTTTTACAATTATTTTATAATTTAATATTTTTTATGTTCTAAGAAATGGCTTTTCCCATAAAGAACATAAATAGAAAATACGTTGTATTAAACATATTTCTATATAAATATAATAAAAAAATTATAGAAAAAAAATAATATTTGATAATATTCCAACATATTTAATTAAACAATGCAATAAAGATACAATATATTAAATATATAAAAATTTTATTAAAATTTTATTAAAAACTGTGATTTTTGGAAAAAATCCAGTGGCTCATGCTTTTCATTCAATATTAAATAGAATAAGCATTTGAATAAGCATAAAAAGAACGAACATTGGCAATTCAGAGACGACAAGGTGCAATTAATTTGAATACTTATCTACCCGTTGGCCACGTGTTCCTAGCGTAGGGAATTAAACTAAGGAAGCAGTCCCTTAGCAGTCGGCGGTTCGCATTTATTCGCTCTTATCGGGCTGACTATAAGTTTCTAGTAGTAGAAGAGGCACCTTGCTCGTGAGACTTTTCATGAACTCGCACACGTGTATGTCGTTGCTCAAACGATATGGCCGCTGCACCCTGCTGCGTACGCGTGCAGCAAGGTGCATGCAAGCTCTGACCCAGATCGCACGATCGATGTTCCCTGGCCCAGATACGCTTACGGAGATTAATATTTTTTCCACGCAAGCTCGACGATTGATCCCTCTCCGTTTTCACGAACTTCATACTTATTTCGTGTCGGGGTTCTTCTGACCGCATTTAAAGATTAATCCTCTTGATGTAATATTAATTGGTTAATTGATATAATATTAATCATATGACATTTGTAGAATTTATTGATTCAAGATTTTTGAGACAACGAGTAAATATTGGAAAAATTGAAATAATATAAAAGTTGACTTATTAAATATCATAAAATATCAACAATAATATGAGTGAAATGAATTTACTTACATTTATTTTATTTACAAAATCTTTAATTTTTTTAGATTTTTTTATAGGTTATCTTTTTACAAATTTTTAAGTTTGATTTTTAATATTCTTATTTCATCTTCTTGTATATATTTTATGATATATTTTATAAATTTAATTGTTTCTTTATGTGATAAATTTTTATTTCCTTTATTTTTCGAAATAATATTCGAAATAAAATAAGATTATGTTTGATATACAAACAATTAATTTAATATATCTTGTTACAATGAATTGCATTTTAATGAGGTGCTCTTTAGTCACATAATTCATGCGTGTAATTTTACTGCTTGTGAAATCAATCGTACAAATTGATGCTTGCAATCTCTTGAACGCGAGTCTGATTTAGCCATTTAATCTGAAATTATTGATCTAAATTGATCTTTGAAATTCATTTCTTATCGCTAATTTACTTATAGATTACTTTAACTATGATTGAGAAGGATTAAATATGAAAGAAATTAATATAATCAATAATATTTGTAATATATTTTTTTCTAAATAGGTTCATAATAAAAATTATTCTAAAAATATTATAAATATTAATACTAATACTAACTTTTTTATTTTTTGTAAAATAAGATTTTATAGAGTTCAATGTAAACTGTCTTGATCTTGAAAATATTTGATTTTTGAAAAGTTATAAAAAATTATATAAAAATACATAAATTATATATTATTTGAAATTTAAAAAAGAAAATGTAATTATATTATGAATATATGTATTAAAAAAAAACATGCAAAATATCCTATTAATAGATATGCTGTTTTTTTTTTTTTTTATAAAAAAATAAGTTATAAGATTCTTATTATATTCTCTTACAAGTATGAAGTCATCTTCTCAGAATATTTTTCCAAATACAAAGAAACCCCACAAATCTTAGCACAAAAGCTCTCATTCACTAAATCTTCTCAATATTAAAAATCATTATTAATCTGTCTCATAAATCATATATCATTATTCATATTATCCTCTCAATAATTACATAAATATTTAAACTAAGGATTAAAGTATAATGGAATGAATTTAAATTAATCAATATCTAAATCTTTATCCTCACAAATTTTCATCTTTGATACGGCTATCGATGGTACTAATCGGATAGCAATGACCGCTATTTCACTCAGTATGTCGTACGTCGAAATTCTTATACCAAGTCCGGCATAACAAGCAACGCGGTTCCCTGTCCAAGCGTCAGGTGGATCGGCGTAAAACTCGAGCTGTTCCTCCTCCAGTGGCGCGCACTGGTGCTTGTTGGCGGTTACATGCAAGTGTACCGTATAGGAGGGACAACGAGGACAACGACGTCGACAGCGGGTGGCAGGGAGTCAGAGTCGTCTCGGTATTACTTTGCGGATCGTTCGGCGAGGTCATGGTCAGCCGGCGTGCTGAAACCGAGAGTCAACAAACTCTAGCAGCGAAAAGAGAAACGAGCCAGCAGCGGCAAACCAAGAGTACCACCAGTCAACCATCCAACCGGACAGTTAACCTACCAACGTAATTCTCTGTGTATTCGTTTAACTGTGAGTTCCTTGAGGAAAGCCGCCCACTGTTAGCGGATTCTCTCTATCCTGTTTCTCCATCAACTTCCTCTCCTTCCACTTTTATCATCTCTTACTTTCTCTCTTTCTTGTTGTTCCTATTATGGACCTTCTAGCTTCTTGTTATCCTTCTTTTCTGCTGAGAGACCTGCATCGCTAAAAATAATTCGCAATCATTATTTATAGCGGGCCTGTTGCTTGAAGCATGCTGCTACAGGTGCAGCAAGAATATGTATTATCTTATAATTTTCTTACATATAAAAGTGATCTTCGATTATTTTATGATTTATATAAGAAATTAAGATTAGAAACTTTAAAAAAGATTTTTAAAAAAATTTTTTTAACAATTTTCTTAGTAAAAAAAAAAATAAAATAAAATAAATAATTTGAAAATAAACAAATATTTATAAAGTTATACGCACGTATATTATAAGGTTATGTCATGCTTAAACGCACGTGATCATCATTTAAACTATTCTTTTTTTATAATATATAATAATATTAAAATATTACATATAGAGTAATAAAAAATTTAACAGTATTGAAAATTAACAGTTTTTTTTATAAAAAGCTATAAATAATTGAAAATCGAAATTCTTATTCCAAATACTATATCATAGTAGCCAACATCTTAATATTGTCTTCAAAACTTAACCTATCTTTCTTGCATCTTGTTTCAAAAGATACTACATGCTCTATTTATTCTGAAAAAAGTAGTGATATGATATCTGTCTATTTGTACTATTCAATCTGAGGATACTTGTGTTTGTGTATACAGCTTGGAGTACGGCAAGTTTATCGACATTGATACTCGTGACGTCGGATTTGCGGTGGCAGCGCCCTGGACGGGT